GCAAAAGTTGAGCAATGTTCAACTTTTGAAGCCTCGGCAGAAGCGTCAGCCAATCGAATCATATGCCAGTACAAGCTCTAGCCAATCAAACCGCTGCTTGTGTGTCAGGGCGGGAGATTCATGTGATTGGTTGTTGGTCGAGTTTCAGACACGCCCGCCGGCAAGCTTCAACGCACGCCGCTGTGTGGACGGGCCGTTACAATTCCTCTTATGTTATTTGACACCCAACTGTTTTCCATATGCTTGATTTTCTCTGTCCTTCATTTTTTTACTCTTATCTCAAACCTCAATTTTTTCTTACTCTAATTGTTTTCTCCCTCCCCATCGTGCAGGGCTTGCTGTCTGAGATTCTACGCAAAGAGGAAGATCCTAAAACAGCGTCCCAGTCCCTGCTGGTCAACCTGCGCGCCATGCAGAACTTCCTGCAGCTGCCTGAGGTGGAGCGAGATCGCATCTATCAGGATGAGAGGGAGCGCAGCCTCACCGCCGCCTCAGCGATGGGCGCCCCCCCACTCATCAGCACCCCACCCATCAGACCTTTACAGGTACCAGACATCTTTTCTTCTGGTGCACTTCTTTAACTCGTAGAGAACATGTCATTATCTTGAATGTTATTCAGGGAGTCCTAATAAGTAGATGCTCCTTTGACGTACAAACATTTAACAAATTGGAATAAACCTTGAGAAATCAATCATAAGACTCTGGAAATAGAGCTCAAGGCAGATTTCTACATCATCAAAGTTTAATGTTGCTGCTAGTGTAGTGCCTGAAGCATATCATCTGATTTATTGTTTGACCAATCGTTGAAGCACCATAGCAACACAAGATGAATGTGGCATGGATAATAACTCAGAGCTAAGCATCTATTTTGAACGAAGTAATATTAACATTCTTTAATGTAATATTCTTAAATAGAACAGCACCATGGAAAGAACACCTGGGTTTGTTTTTTCTTAGTCGTTAAAAATATTTGTTTTATTATTAAAAAAGGAACATCATGGCCATTTGTTGACATGAGCAACAGTAATGGAAACGTGGTGAAAAGCGATATAGCTGCTAAAGAATGTCACATCCCCGTCTGGGAAACAAAAATCCTCGAATGCACAACCTTGTTACCAAAGTAGGCCATCGCACAGCATTCGAGTTGGCCAGCTACACAACTTGCACAATGACAATTGTTGTTGTTGGCTCCGCCCATTGAGAGCTTTTTTTCACTTCAAAGTGCTCTGATTCAGAGAGATAATTGGATGACTAACTAGGCTTTCTACACCGAGACAGACTATTGTGAAATAAAAAAAAAGGTTCCAATGCCTTAAGGGCAGAAACATTTTCAAACTTTATATTGGAAGTTATTCAGAAAGCATGCAACAAAAAGAGAGGTGACAAAGGCTGCATTTATTCACCATGTTAAAAAAAAATGAATACGAGTAGATAAAGGCATGTCAACTATTTGACTAGACGGATTTAGATACTATTACTTGTGTACATGCAGTCAGGGTTGAGAACAGGTATGCAGGTGTGAGAGCAGATTCGATTTTTTTTAGAAGCTGATATTTACTCTCTGTCTTTGGTGTCATGGACTTAATCAAGACACACATATCAAACATCCTGTCAGGTTTCATAGGCAATACAAAAAGTTAAGCAAAGTTGAATTCCTTAATGTACAAACACAGACACACTCATCCAGTACACTCTGTTTTTATGCGACAACAGCGAGTACGGATACAAGCACCAACCTAGCATATTGTTCCCTTACAAAGCTCACATTCCTCTCCATTGTATCAGGCGACGACTACCTGTCTGGAAACACTTAAAATAAAAGCCCAATCTTTCTGTCATCGTGCACACCAGAGATCATGCTTTACATTCTCCCTGCATGCAAATGAGTCCTACGTCCCACCCGCCCTCACCACACAGGTGAGGACAGTGCATGGATGATGGATACTTTTTGTGTTAATGTTGACCTTTTAGCATGCATTAGGCAGCATTAGCAGCCCTCCCATACAAAAAAATAAAGCTCACTCAGTGATGACAAGCTCCTTGAAAGATCAACCATCGTTTAGCGAGCCCCTGTTTCAAAATCACCGCAAATCAGTGTCCCTCATTTGAAAGGTATGTGGCAACTTTCTACCACTTAAGCCTATTTGAAGTGCGGTCAGCTGCATTTGGGAGGTGAGAGTGCCGGACAAAGGCCTCCTCTGTCCTGTCCCCGGTGAAGATTGGGCTTTTATTTAGGTGAGGAGGAAAGAAAGATCTGATCTTTCAAATGGAGCCTCTCTCTGAAACTACTCAGCATGATGCCACTTGCTGTCTTTGCAAAACTAAAGAGAAAGAGTCACATTCTGAAGCAGCGGTGCTGAACTTCGGGCCACTTTGTAGTTCACAGCTCATCTTTACAACCAGAGGCTGTGTCAGCGCAGGAGAGAGACTCAGAGTTAGAGGGGGGACATTTTCACAAGAATGTTTTGTTCTGCTTAATAACCCACTGTTCATGTTATATTGCCATCCCTGATGTGGTGATAGGGATTTGAGTTTTTTTATTTATATTAGTCAAATCAGGTAAAATAAAGATATTTCATCCATTTTCTTACAGAATGAATGTGCAGACGGTCTTTAAACATGTCTAGGATCTGCTTACAGAGCTCTAAAGATACCTATTGCTGAAAGAGATCTGAAATGCTACATGGCACACAAACTTTGTCAAACAGGACCCAAAACTCAAAGTTCGTGTTTGTATTCTCACATCACTCAAATGACTGCTGGCACGTCGATAGAATATCTTGAAATCTATCATACTTCACCTGTATGACTTAAACCCATCAACATTTATCATGTAGACCTGTTCCTACACTAGGCAATTCTCACAAGCACATCCACAAACACACCACCTCACACACTCATTCACCTGGCCATCTGCCAGCCTCTCCTACGGAGCAATGCGGTGTGAATTTAAGCACATAAATCAGCCAGGGTGGCAATTGAGCCAGAGACAGAGGAGGGTTTTTATTGGCCTCATAAAAACAGATGCAGAGGTATGTTTCTCTCACGTGTGCTGATGGGTCGACTCGACTCCCCCAAAGCCAGTTAGTGCACGTCCCAGCCTTAACAATTAGCCTGACATGGTAACCTACCGCTCAGACTGACAAGCCCATGTCGAGCTGTCGTAAAATGGGATGAAAAGCCCAGAAACTCTCCGACATTCCAGTTTCGCCACAAATGTTAGGATTATGTGATTGTCTTTAACACATAAAGGAGATCATATTAGGTGTCTAGACACATTTTGGAATATATATGTTTTGTTGTTATAACACAGACTGGGTCTTAAGTTAGGAGATGTTGGTGTTATTATGGTTTCTCTGAATGCTGCGTACTCAAACCAAACCCTGCCGATGTCTCCTTTCAAAAGGGCTTGTGTGCAATGATTCATATGCTAATGGATCATGGGTAATGCTTTTATTAGGATACTTGTTATCTTGTCAAAGGATTTTTGTCAAGATGCAACAAGCCGCTGAATGAAGATGATTTCACTTGACTTGCATTTATTTTTTTAATCACTAGCTTGACATCAGAAGAATAACGTTTCTCACAACACATCAGAGTGTTTTTGAGCGAAGTAACACTGGAGCAGTGCGTGGGTGTAATCTATACTGTGTGTGTGTGTGTGTGTGTGTGTGTGTGTGTGTGTGTGTGTGTGTGTGTGTGTGTGTGTGTGTGTGTGTGTGTGTGTGTGTGTGTGTGTGTGTGTGTGTGTGTGTGTGTGTGTGTGTGTGTGTGTGTGTCTGAGAAATGGTTGCATGTATGAGTGTGTGTGAATGCTTGTGTTAAGCCAGATTACTTTTATTTTTCCGCATGTGAGCCTGAACAAATAACGTTTGTGTTGTGTTCCCAACACTGCAGCCCCGGAGGGAAGACTGTAACAGCGTGAGGCCCGAGGACTGGAATCCCCGTATCCCCGTGGGCCTTTCCCCTGTGAGCAAATAACTCCACCCACCTCACCTCTCCACCTTTACCAATCTGAATGCACACATTTTCACAGACAAAACACATACGGAGGCTTTTTATCTCCCAACATGCATTACATTGCTATTTCAGTGCATGTCTGTAAAGCAGGATATAAATAGTATTTGGAGCAGAATGTAAATGTATCTCTTACATGCAAGGCTAATATTTGTATCTTGCATTTTTTAATTTAGTTTCTTATGTGTTTTTAGCGTAATCAAAAAGTCTGCGTATTCAGCCATTCAGCGGCTCTGAAGACATTTTTTTTTTTAAATGGTCTCAAGCGTATTAAGGAAGAACACAGTGACCCAGTCCATACACACAACCAAAGTTGTTTATATAACTAAGTATTATTCAAGTTTTTAAATAAATGTATGTTAGTAGTATTAGTAATTTCCTTTGTCCTCGCCCTTTCAACCAGGTCAAACTGTCGCCTATGCCCAGTGAGTGGAACGGGAAAACAGAAAGCTGCATCCTCAACATCAACTCCACCATCTACGACGAGATCCAGCAGGAGATGAAGAGGGCCAAAGTTTCCCAGGCCCTGTTCGCTAAGGTGGCCGCGTCCAAGAGCCAGGTACTGAAACACACTCTGAATGAAACAAAAAGGAGAAACATATGATGCATTTGAAAGCCAATACATATATTCTGTTGTTCTATGTAAACAGCATCCCAGTCATTCTTCCCTCCAGAAAACGTATAGTAGTTTTCTTTCAGCGTTTAAGGAACAAATAAAAAATGCATTCAAAAAAGGCATTTATTCAACATACAAAATCAAGTCTGTGGAAATCTTATCGCTTTGTCAAAGAATAGTTTACTTACTCTGTGAGGAAGCTGTTTTGAAATCATTTATGTACCATAAATCCCCCAAATGCTTTCTAAACCTGGAAACATAAATTGCTCAAATTATCCACAGACGTACATAAACACTAGCACACACACTCATTGATGAACGTCTCGCAAATATCAAAGCAAGAGAATAAGAATCCTTGAGCATTGAGACAGTCCTTTAACTCTAAAGAAATGCACAGACATACACACAGTTTATCACAAACATAATCTTAAAATATGTAATATGCAATATAACATCATAATATTTATACATTGAAAGGAAAAGCAGTAGAAAATGCATACAACCTGGAGCTGAACTTGCCACAGTGCATCACCGCTGTGATTTATCGACATAATGACACATGTCCTCTTTATTGTGGGTTTGGAGTTTAACTGTCGACACTGTTTCAACACCAAACAAACCTGTTTGTATTAGCTCCGCTCAGTAAGACGGAGGGGCCCCTGTTATCTTCTCACACAATACAAGCTGTGTGTGTTGGAAACAGGGTAAAAAAAAAGGGAACACACACCACCAATTTACCTCTATATTAAAAGCAATTTTAAAATGAAGCACTCAGGAGTTATTATTATAGGTGTCTGTCGGAGGAGTCGAAAAGATTTCCACAATTGTGCTTGATGAAGACGATGGGGGGAGAAATAGATCACCAAGGGCGGAATAATCTCGAAATATCTGCAAAGGCTTTATTTTTTTCTTGCTGATTAGGATGATTATACCCCCAGATAGCTTTGTTTTACCAAATTGCAGTTTGATGCACAAACCACTGTTTTTGTTAAGGAGTTCAAAGACTCTTTGGAGAAAGAGAAAGGGGGAGAGCGAGGCGGTCGCAGTATTAACTCGCACATGTCTCTCTCTCCTCAAATGAGGGTTTGTCTGGGAACAGGTTTCCACCGTGCCTTCTCCACCTCGTTCCCATCTTTCTGTCTTGCCCCTCTACCTCTCTCGTTCCCCCGATTTCTGCCTCTCTTTCACGTTCCATTCATGCAGGCGGGTGTGAATGTGAATTGAGCAGCAGATAAGAAGTGTGCTAATTATGCCTGTGAAAGGGGGCCTGGGAGAGCACTTATCTCTGGCTCCATCTCGTAATGGGCGCTCCCCGGGCAGCTGGTCTCCCCCCTTACTACCCAGCCGGCATTGCCACAGCTACCAGCGCAGCGAGACCAGGGCTGCTCCTCCGCTTCAGGACCCCTGAACCCCTAACATCAGAGACCAGCCCCTAGTTATTAGAGGACATTACGACAAATATCTTCTTAAGTTCTGCATCTTTAAGAGGGACAAGTTCGTTGTTTTACTTACTTCGTTTTAGCCAAAGTTAGACGATTCTATAGAGGTTTGACTTCCCAGAAATAAAGTCAGTCAAACAATTTGTGTGGAATTATTAGGAAACTATTTTCATCAAACATTTATTTGAGCTGCAAAAAAATGCCTAACATTAAGTGAATCCACCTTCTCAAATGTGCTGGTGTTTTATATAATTGTAAATTAAATGTTTGGACTTGGTACCTTTTGACATTTTATCAAACAACTAATTGATTGAGAATGAAGAGATAAGGAAAATACGAGTTATTTGCAGTATTTTATCGATACATATTTTCCATATATTTTATCCATATAATTCCACATGGTGTAAAGGTCTCCATAAGGCAAGTTAGCAACTCAATTCTGCTTATTTAGAAAAAAAGCATTGGTGCCATTGCTGGTACTATAGAAACGATGAGTTCATGTGACCAGAGCTAGCATACTGGGTGTTGAGTATGTCTGTGGTAATTGTTCATGAGCTTACTATAGTGTGAATTAGTCAGCCAGGAAGAAGGGCAAAATGCATTTTTAAATGACATGTTGTAAACGACAGCTTAAGTCCAGAGAGCTTTGCCGCCTTGCTGGAAGAACATAACAATATCCAAGCCCTGGGTAGAGCTCCATGCCAACAGACACTGCTGGTGCTGAGGTTGGTAGTGCAGTGTGCATGTGGTTGGTGATGAGGATGGAGGATGGGCTGGACTGGCAGGATGCCCATATGGGGTCCAGGGAAATAATCGTGGGGGGAGGGTAGAGAAGAGGCCTCATCACTGAGGCTGGCACCGTCTTCTCAGCTCCGTGTGAAGTTCAACCGCTTCAGTTCAGCTCAGGATTTCCCAGCATGCTTAAGCAAGCTCAGTATGAGGTGATCAGTATCTGTTGGTACCATTCCCTTATATTTGTGGGGACATGTTTCTATAGGTATTTAGCTTTTCTGTACAGCTTATTTTCCCAACACAAAGAGAAAAAGCTGAGAAGAGATAAGGAAGTGTGATGGCGATCTGAGAGGTGACAAAAAAAGGGATGTGGAGTTGAAGGAGGTCATAGACAGTAGTGCCCCCCTGGGTAGAAAAAGCACTAAACAGGAGTTTACTGATTGGTGCATGCTGCACTGAGTGTAGGCTTAGGTGTGTGTATACACTGCATATAGATATGGGTTTATGTGCTGGCACATTTGAATGTGTGTGTGTGTGTTTGGGGGGTTCCTGGAATGCTGCCATCCCGTTCTCTCTTAGGGCTCGTAACCACAGCAGGCCTCTGCCACCCTTAACTGCCCCCCCTCTCTCACATATTCAATGTTGCATTTCAATCACTCTTTTACTGCCACATATTCAGAGTGTAGTAACTATGGAGCAGTGAATCCAACCCTAAGATATATGACTTTATCAGATTAATGGCCGCCATTTCACTTCAAGTCTGGGCATACGTATTTTTTAAGTAATCCATGCAGCAATTCTGATTTATTAGGACAGATATTACATTTAGTCCTTGATAACATCAGAATCATTATTCATGATCCATTCCTCAATGACTCAAACTGATCCAATGCTCCAAGAATGCTCCATCTCCATTTAGCTTCAGGAGATGTCAGACTTGGAGAAAACAATTGTGTGTTGCTGGTTCAAATCCAGTGATGACACTGCCAGAAGTAGCAATATTCGCCAAACGGCCCATTTCATTTGAGCCTGCGGAGCTTTGATCTGGATAGGCTGGTGTTGATGTCAACATTATTAACTGGCTCGATTGGGCTAGAGCGCTTTCTAGCAAGCTACTATGCTTTGTTTTCATTCATATTAACAGGGGAGGCTTGCTGTGTTGGCGAGCCTAGCAGAGAGGGCGGCTAATGTTCAGTTGAGCGATGGGAGGTTAGCTGAGGGAGTGGGGGCAGGTTGGGGGCTTTCCTCTGACACGACTTTTATGTCTAAACATCTCCGACACTTCCTGAGAGGAATTGCGAATCTGATAGAATCATAGTCCCTGCTGTCATAAAACAAGCACCCGGGGAGCCCCGCGCTCCACGGGGCTCAAAGCCTTCCGACTCCTCAATGACCAGAAGACTAGAGAAAGCCACCAACACCGCCCTCTCTCCCCATCCCTCTTTCTCTCTCTCACTCGCTCATTCTCCCCTGGAAGAGGCTACGCTAATTAGCCAGGCTCTAATGAGACAGAATGGCACTGATCTGGTCCGCCGCTGCGCCACCGGGGGGGCCGGGCCGGCACGGTCCGCACGTCCCACTGGTCTTCTACCGGCATTGTGGATTGGAAGGGGGTGGGGGGCCGGAGCGAGGAGGAGAAGGGGGNAACAATTCATTATAGCGGTAGTCAGTGGCGGCGCTAGGGGGTGGCTACTTCTGCACATTACTCCCGAGACATTTTCAGAAAACATCCGGGGCTTGAGCCCAAGTAGCCACCCCCTAGCGCCGCCACTGACTACCGCTATAATGAATTGTTCCTCCATTTTTTGGAATATGAGGAAATGACCTGCGTAGTCTCTCCCAGCATACACGCGGTTTGATTGGCTAGCTCTTGTACTGGCAGATTTGCATAAACAGGATTTTATTGGCTGATGCTTCTGCCGAGGCGCCAAAAGTTGAACATTGCTCAACTTTTGAAGCGAGCAACGCCATCAGCGCGTCACTTCCCTAAATGCAGTTCAGCAAAAAGTGACATCACCCCATTCAAAGTGAATGGTGAAGCTTTCAACGCACGCCGCTGTGTGGACGGGCCGTAAGTTAAGACTTAGGTGTGAATACAGCGTTTCTGTCGAGGCCTTTGAACCTATAACACATTGTTGCGTGTCATTCTGCAGATCTTGGACATATTCTTAGAGCAGTATGTTTCTCTAGATAAGAGACGCAGCGACTCGCCTGAAATGTGAAATTCTTGTGCGGCGGGCAATCAGTGTATCCTCTATTTACTTTTCAATAGCGCTCAATTCCATCATTATGAGGCGGGGATGACTCCATTATCAGAGACGTGTGATTGGGCCTTTTCATCAGCTCTTGGCCACACACTGTGCAAACCATCGCTCCGCTTCTCTCACCATCAATAGGTGTGATTTGGTAATAAAACAAGGTGATGGGGAAAACATGATCATTATGCTTTTATTCTTTTTAGAATAAGAGAATGCGAGTCCTCGTCTCTCACTTCTATTTTGGGAGAGTATCAAATGCGGTGTTGTTTGTCTGGCTATTAAAATGTATACGTACATGTGTCATGTTCCAAAAGGTAGGTCTGTGGCATCCAGACAAGTATGAACAGATACTCATCAGACTCAGTGAGTGATGGTTTTATGACGAAGGGGACTGAGCACTTAATGTACACAAGTATTCAGGGCATAGATTAGTGTCGTATCTAATTTATGTTAGTTTTCTGCCTTCTTCAAGGTGTGCCTGTTTATCGTTATTCGCCATCAACTATTTTTCTCTATCTCTTTGGTCAATCAGTTTTCCTCCCTGAAACAGGGACGCCTCCACCTCCTGCATCCTACAGCAGCCCCTCCATGTCACTACTCGAACCCCCCCACTCTTCTTTTATTAACACAGACTTGTGGAAAAAAACCACACGCCTAATAAATAATCCTCCAAAGGCTAACTCTCCAACGGCAACGAGCTAATTCCTCATATCAGCCACAGATAAGACTCTGTTTGTGTGGGAGCTTGCACAAAAACACCACTGTCTGACTTAGACATTTAACACACACACATTTATTTTTGGCGTTGCTGTATGTTCTAATTCTAATAGATCCTAATCAGTTCCAGTTTATTTTTCCGACACAACGACTTCAAAGCGAATGCTGTTGTAATGAGGTTTGCTGTCACCTCTCTCTTCCCCCCATCTAATACCGACGGGATGTCTGAAGACATTATCGTTGCCTTCTGAGTGTGTGTGTGTGTGTGAGTGTTTGGGGATGTGAGTAAGGCTTCTGACTATGAAGTGAAACCACATATTTTGGCAGGGAGAGGACACGCGCCATGACCGAGGCCGGGTCTTTCACATGGCCGGCTGCCAGTTGTCTTGAAGTTCAGTAGAGGTGCTACATTACTGAGTGAGAAATGAGATATAAACTGTGGAAATAAACACACAGTCTTTACCTAGTATTTTTACATAAAAAGGTCCCTTGACATTTTTAAGGTGATGTTTTTCCTTTGAAAAAAGGTGTTTTTTAAGACAGTGAGGAAAACACTAAGTGATTTTGTGCAATTGGATTTCAAAAGCGGAAAGGTGCAAACATTTTTAGATGATATCTTTTTATTGAGTTTTCAATTTCACCCTGTGAGCTTAGTGGTGCCACAGGATGTTTAAAAAAAATCGAAATGTGTTCTTTAAACTGACAGTCTGGGGCATACACATTTTTTTTATTTTTTTTTATTAAATCATCAGTTACTATAGCAAATACTGGATGCAATGTGTCACATAGCACCTTTTTTATGAATTTGATGATATTAAGGTTATAAAAACTGTTCTAATAACCTAGATTATTATTATTATAATTACCAATATTACAGCAGAAAGGAGAAAGAGGCATTGGAGCAACTTTTACCTTTGCCAATAACTTTAGTAGACAATAATTGTTGTTTTAAAGTTGGCAAAGTCCCTGTTCTGTAGCCCATCCGTGTCCCCTCCTCACCTGGGTTCTGTTGAAGGCCACGCGGGCGAAGACGGCCTGTGAGATGCCGGCCCGCTTCAGCTCGTCCCTCACCCACTGGTAAACGTCCATAGACACCTCTGTGTTTGATGTCACCTGTGGCTCCATGGGCTTGTTGTGGGAGTTGCGGTTGACAGGTGGGTGGTTAAGGTACTGCTGCGAGAGGGACTGCTGCGCCAACAACCGGTTCACTGCATACTGCTGGTTGAGGATCTGTGCCATCACAAGCTGCTGGTTGACCAGCTGGGGGCTGATGGGCGTGGACACCAGGCCCGGGTGGTGCATACCGGGGAGCTGGGGCTGTCGGCCGCCGTTCTGCCCACTATGTGGCGGGGGGGCGTGCTGCATCTGAGGCACCGGCGAAGATGGCGTCTGCTCTGCTGTGCTGCCGGGGATAGGCTGCTGCTGCTGGGAGAAGCCCAGGTGGTTGTGGTTGTGGTTGTGGCTGTGGCTGTGATTGGAGCCGGGTGGAGAGAGGTCGGACAGGCCATCCATCTCTGCTGGAGGTGAGTGGAGGAAAACGGGCAGAAAGTGGAGGGCAGAGATAAGTAAAAAGACAGGTGGAACACCAAAAAGAAAACACATGAGTGAAAATGTAGAAGAGGCCCTGTTTGTGCTGTGGAAGTTGAACCTCAATCTCAAAACTGGGATAAATGTAATGTCATCATAGCTATGTCTCTAATCAGAAGAAATTAAACAGATGTGCTCTGACTGAGATCCAACTTAACCTCAAGTGAATCTTATCCTGTCAGAAAACATTTCCATTTCCATTCATGAGATATGGAAAGGAAAATATTTTTGCAGTCAGCACATTTTCATGTCAAGAAACCAAAACCACAATAAACAGGGGATTACTGTCTTTTCCCTAATAAGTGGCCTTCAGAGGCCTCTTACTCCCTGATTGGATATGACGGAGTTGATCAGCCAACGACTGGTTCCAAAAAATGTTTTAACGCAGATAAAAGAGCCTCATTGTGTTTGACCTGTGCCATGCCATGCCTTCAAAATTAAGTTCACAACGTCTCTGGCCTCATCATGTGAAAAAGAAATCTTGGAGAGACAGTGGAGTGTGTGTAGGATTAATTAAGGAAAACATTTATGTGTGTGTTTGTGCGTATGAGAGTGTGTGGCAGAGGCAGAAGCAGTACTGATAAATCGGATTCTCTCCTTACATCATTAATTCTAAAATAAGTAACACAAGCTAGCCAATAGGACATTTTTAGTGGAGGACTGTCTCAACATAAATGCAGTGAACGGAGACAGAAGGAATGCATCGGAGGATACAGTCTGTAACCTTGTCTGAGTGGAGAACAAACAATACAAAAAAATCTATGTGCCGTCATTTAATGGCGTTTGAGATTTTTGTGGCATCTCTTGCTTTGGGAATCTTTAATTCCATAATGGCTGCTCGGGAATATTTTAAGACAGGTTTAAATGATGTGCTTAGAGGATGAAAACAATGATTTAACATTCAAAGTACTACCCACAGCGAAGTGAATGAGCATTTGGAGCAGCTGAATGTTTTGAGGTTTCCGCCTCTCTTTAAGTAATTCACATATGCCGAGGCTTCTTCCGTGCAACTGACTGAGTGAGGGGGCAGCGTTTAAGAATTCATACGGATGGCAACATTAACACCTTAGAAGTGTGCCTCCACATCCCACAGAAAAAGCATCGTATGAGATTGTAAAAAGCATAAATTGCTGTTATGGGGAAAAGGGGGGGGGGGAGTGTCTTCAATAAGCTGAATCTTTTAGCAGATGAAAGATTAAGTGCATGGATGTTTTCCAAAAATACCCACAATAATCGTGTATTTGAGCTGCCTGTTTCTTAACTGTCAGCAAGCACAAAACACCCGGCCAAGACGGGTCTATTGAGCGTTTGTCGAAAACAAATGATGTGGGGGGAAGAAACAAAACAAAAAAAAATCTTGGTAATAATCACATCTCTTCCTATAATCCCTGGCATTCCCTGGCTCTGATGGTATGGCGTGTCTATTCACTCATATGTGAATGTGTGTGTATGTGTGTGTGCATATGCTCGCTCGCACAGACTGCTGGGGGGCATGCTCACAACACACAAACACACAGGCACACGGAGGCATTTCCATGCAAATTGAAAAGAGAAGGGGTGACAGAAGAGCATGGCAGGCCCTGGGAGAAAAAGGCTGCCACAGAAGCGGGAGTCCTCGTGTGGAATCCTGCCACAAAAGAGCCCCGGATTAAACACACAATGGGAATGGGATGTGGGCTGAGGGAGGGAGGGAGGGAGTGCGTGTGTGTGTGAGTAGGAGAGGGAATGGGAAAGAGAGACATACAAAGTGACCCAACTTTCTCTCCTGTGTTGACTTCCCTGTACTAGCGTTGCCACCTCAAAAGAAGAGGGACGGTGTTTGCTGGCGGCTGGTAACACCACTTCAGCCGCAGAGAAGCAGCTTGCCAGTACCTGTGACCAGGTACTTCTTACCCTTGACTTCGGGCTCAAAACTGCTTGCTAAATGCAAAGCGGTGAAGTAAATGCAGAGTCACATTTGACGCCACTGCCAAAGCACAAAGCGATGACCGTGCCACTCTCTCTTCCAGCATCAACCTTGGCTTCTCACCAGGTTTTCTCTTCCTGCCATTTGTAGCCACGTACAGCAGACAGCAGCCCGTCATGAATATTGAGGATGGGGGAGTTGCCGCGGGGTATGAGGGGCACCTGAGGCTCGTGTGCCAAAGGTTTGTGTCTGAGGTCTGGCTAACATGGCACATGGGCGCTGGAGTTTCTGTGAATGTGTGTAGGCGCATCTTGAGATGTTATCGCTGCTTTATCGTTGCTTCTGCGTACAAAACCATTGGTGGTTTTGTTCTTATCAGGAATCTATGTTCCAAAAGAGAGTGACCCGAAGAAGTGCTTATGCTTCATAAAAGTAATATTAGAATTATTAAAAAACAGTATTCAACATAGTCCATATGAGGGATATTATGACGTTTGCGTGACCATGAATTTGGTGTCATTTAAAACAAAGGTAGGATCAGATGAGAAAATGAAGATTCGATAAAGAGTTTAAGCCACAAAGTAAATAAGCTTCAGTCACTTTAATGTGACTTTAAATGCTATTTGGTTTTTGGATTAAGATTAAGATTGTAATAATGATTTGGTTTAGGCAAGACAGGCAGTAATGTTGGGTATTAAAAGAGGAATGTGGCTTGTCACAAGTTAGACAAATCAGTGTGTGTGTGTGTGTGTGTGTGTGTGTGTGTGTGTGTGTGTGTGTGTGTGTGTGTGTGTGTGTGTGTGTGTGTGTGTGTGTGTGTGTGTCCATATGCATGTGAGCCAGTGTATCTATCTTTGTCCCAAATCTATCAAAATGTATTCTCATTTTATGGCGACTTGGTCTACATTGGTTTGTTTTTCATCTATGTTAGACTTAATGTCAGGTTAAAGCTACAGTAGCATTTAGGCTAAGCGTTCAGAAGTCATGGTTAAGGTTATCGTCAAGGAATTAATTTATGTCAATGTAATGTCCTTCAAAGGGAAGTGTGTTAGTGTGTGTGCCCATGTTGCGACATACCTAATGCATTGGCACGCGGGCTCTCACGGAGGACACACGTCCCCAGGTATCCCTCCAGCTGGGAGGGTTGGCGCATGCCTGCACAGCCGGATGGAAGGACACGCACATGCACACACACACACACACACACACACACACACACACACACACACACACACACACACACACACACACACACACACACACACACACACACACACATAGAAGTGAGGGAGAAAAACAGGGTTAGGACTTTCTCCAGTACTTCTCTCCCATTCCAGCTAAGCACTAATATGACATTTAAAACACCAGCATCACTGAAGCCATACAAGCAGCTGCAGCAGCCCCGTTTTTGAGGAAAATATAACAAGATAGAAAACAATTGTGACAGAAAATGTGTAGGAGTATGCAAGAGAATACAGCAGGTCTGAAGTGAATATTGTTCTCAGCATATGTTGCCACTTTAACAGAAGAAAAAAACATCAGATAAGATATGATCACAACACGCTATTTGCATGGAAAACATTTTGATATAATATCTCATCTGTCATCAGTGCAAGCAGTAGCGCACTAGCAAAGCAAAAAAAGATTGTTCAACAGATTGTTAAAGCTAATATCTTAACATTACACTGCCTTGTGAGGCTCGCAACAGAGTGGTTCCAGCTGGGATGGCACTAGTATCACATAACCTCATTTCCTGGCGGGTCAAAGGGGATTTTTTGGTGATAATATAAAGCATGCGTTGTTAGAGGGTTGATAAGAAGATCTAATTGAATTTCAGACTAGGCGGTGGCCGGTTGAATTCATTGCTGCCTTTTGTTTGTGGAATAGTAAAGCGTTATACTCGCTCACCAACAACAACAAAAACAGTCAGAGGCCTCAATCTGACTCTTGCATTAGAGTTAATTAAAGCAATAATGGATAAACCAAAGATAACACTGTGCCCAGCTGCATAACAGAGCGGAGTTATCTTGAATTATTAGATAACAAGATAAAAATGTGTTTCTGCTTCATGCAACAGCAGGAAGACAAAGAGGCGGTTGGTTAGAGAACATATTGTAATGACGACTGGTGTGTGTACGTGTGTGATTGTGTGTGTGCAAAGAGACAAAAGTGTGAGCGCCATACTTTGCGCGCCTCCGTTTTGCTTACCCATCATATCTTTTGTCTTCTTGAAATGTTTATACCAGCGCCCAAATTCCTGACACTTTGCCGCCGACACATTTGCATAGTAAGTGCTGTTCACAATGGAGGAAATCATACTCTGAAAGAGAGAGATTGATTGAGAGAGAGAGAGAACGAGAGAGAGACTTTAGATTCTCATTTTAGAAAAATACAGACATAATATTAAAGCTTGTGAAACATGCAGTGACACTGTAGCTTGTCAAAACAAATAAAAGATAGGGAAAACCCAGCACTAAAATAAGCCATTGGACATGCAGAAATGTTGGGTCTTTTCTTCTAAATGTAAATAAAAAGAATCAAGCAAGGTTTTATCTATTCATCCCTATCAAATGCTGTGAGTTTGACTGATTTTTCAGAGTGGGTAATTTAAAGGTCAACTGAGTCTGTTGACATCAAGAGAAGACGGCATGAAATATATTTACCTTCAAAAGAAAGAAGATAGCGGCTTATTGAATATCAGCATCTGGGGAGTCAGGCGATGCAAACAGATAAACCGCTTTTATTTCCCAGCTCTTTATTTATACAATCTGTTAAAGACAACCACTTCAAGCATATCCAGGCCTGCACTGAGCATGTCGTTCTGCAACGCATTTGTGCTCCCATCTCCCCCTTTACAATAGCTTCTTTGCCCTCTCTACATTAACTTCAACCATCCTCTTTATGCCTCAGAAAAACAAAGACGCGATATATTTTTTTTCTCCTTCCAGTTTCATTAAAATTTATGTTTTAACACCTTGCCGGCCTACGGGCGAATAGCGAGGTTGGTGCAGGAGAAATTGTTTTTGATTGTTATAAATATTCAAAAGAACCAAACCATCTGTTTTCAAATTACAGGTATGCCATCTTTATAATTTCTATAATGTATGCGCTGGGAGGTTGGCGGGGGAACCTTCTGGCAGAACAGCATGGAGGTACGAGCACAATGGACGGGTAGAGGATGATTCTGGTTCTCCAGCTTTGGTGCACAAAAAGAGGGTAAAGGATGGCAGCTGTGCTCTCAGAAAGGTCACTCCAACAATGAACCCCCGACCTCTCTATTAAAGCTCTATGCAACTAATGCGATGAAAACAAACCAGAGTCTAACACACATACAACCAGAACACACCAACAACGTAGTTAGCACAAATCTGAGCAAAGCTCCAACAGGATCAAGATGGACACAAGTTTATTTTGTCCAACTGTAGCAGGCAAGGATCTGCTCGAGGTTAAACAAAAGCAAAAGGATGACAGCTTTCAGCAACGTTTTGGCCAGCGTCATGTGATGCCCTGTCCTTCAAACTGTAAGAGGATGGACCTTAGAGTCCAAAAACTCCACACAAAAGTTTTTTATAAGCAAGCGTTTTTAAAGACAATTTTTTGCCACCTCTTAGAATAGAAGAGAACCAAAGGCAGTTACACTTTCAGGTATCGCTTTCACATTTGAACCAAAGTCACAAAGGACTATATTAATCATACCTGCTTGTACCAGGTAGAGTCAAATATGGTAGCACCGCAGCGATGTACGTATATATATGTGCAAACCATGCTCTGGTGCACCATGATAAAGAAAAGGAGGGACAAGTCTGCATTTGGACTTACACGGTATAACAAGGCAGGCTTTAATAGATCTACTGAAAAGCCCTCATTCAATAAAAGCCCTGATAGAGTTCAGGTTAGGGTGAGGATGTCAGAATTGCCCTTTAAATGGTTCATACATTTATGCATGAGGCAGCTCCTTCTTTTTTAAGCAATATTGGCATCAGGGAATCGTCTCTGGTCTTAAAATGATAACTTCTGTTTATTCATCATGATAAGCATAAGCCAGTTTGATCAGAATGAATAGTTTTGTTCTTGATTTATTGCCTTGGAAAGAGACATTGGGACGAGGACTGGTAAAGCACCAAACCGCACATTCCAGTTTAACATGGTACGGTAGCCAACTCCCAAACCAAAGGTCCTTCAAAAAAACATTTATTTTAAGTAAGAAGGGTTTTCCTTCAAGTAGGAAAGATAATTAACTCCTTTCCCCCAGCATGCCATGTTTTATTTACAGTATATCTGGGCTAAGGCGGCTCCAGGCAACAAACAAGAGACCTGCAGAAGACGGTGTGTCTTTCTCTCTCTTCCCATCTTTCTCTCTATCTCTCTTGCTCCCTTTTTCCTCCGCCATCTTTGACACAGATGTTCTAATAAACGCTCCTCATTAATCAGCCCTCTCCCTCAATACATCACTCTACCTCTCACAGGGGGCCCAGTGTGTATGTGTGAACCAAACAATACACACACAGACACACACACACCTTTTCTCTCTATCGCTCTTCCCACAGCTCTGTCACACACACATGCATACGCACTAAGTGAAATCAAGCAGATAACCAGAGCCTCTGCTGCCACTGCGGTGCCAGCAGGAGGGCTCTGCTAGGGCTTGTCAACAGGTAGCATGGCTTTGTGTGTGTGTGTGTGTGTGTGTGTGTGTGTGTGTGTGTGTGTGTGTGTGTGTGTGTGTGTGTGTGTGTGTGTGTGTGTGTGTGCGGGCCGGTGTGTATGCGTGTGCATGAGCATGTGTGTGGACCCTTTAAAGTGATAGCCATCTGCAGCGCAGAGAGGTTATCAGCAAGACCAGGAAGTGGCACTGGGCTACTATCGGTCCCCAACATCTACTCCACTCCCCATCATGGGAGACAGGAAGAGAGAGCAAGGGGGAGAGAGTGAGTGAGTGTGTGTGTGTGTGTGTGTGTGTGTGTGTGTGTGTGTGTGTGTGTGTGTGTGTGTGTGTGTGTGTGTGTGTGTGTGTGTGTGTGTGTGTGTGTGTGTGTGTGTGTGTGTGTGTGTGTGTAAGAAAATAGCAGTGCAGCAGGCAGGTACTGTAGGCACCCAGCTGCCAGCTTTAGAGTGTGGTGCACACACTGGCAAATGCAAACACACACCAAGTACAACCCCTGCAGACAAACACACATGTTACACAAATGTACACACACACACACACACACACACACACACACACACACACACACACACACACACAATCGTTCCAACTTAGCCTGATGTCTTGAATCAGCTGGGGAAAACGTGCATCCCATTTGCAACACTCTGCCTTGTCTCTCGCCAACATCTAACACAGCTCAATTATGGCACATATCCACCTCAACTGAGATGACCCCCCCTCTCTTCAGACTAACACACACGTGTACATATATACACACACATTCACCCACATATACTGGCAACCAGGTTCCGCCTATGGCTGCTGAGGTGGAGAAGGCCTGCAAAGATGGCATTTTGATGACTATTTGCTGCTACGCAACGCAGCAGCTGGTGCACCAGGGGCCGCCCAGTGAGAGTGAGCAGGGGGTGGGCAAGAAGAGGTGGTAGCAATGGGAAACAGTGGGGTGAGGTGGGGGGGGTTCTCGTTTGTTGCCATAGTTTCTGCGAACATGGGCAAGGGGGTTTGCTAAGCTTGGTAGCAACCTCAGAGAAAAAATAATATGCCTGATTCCGGGAAGAATCAGGAGAAGTTTGGTCTAGGCAATGCCTGTCCAATTTGTGAATCTTTACGATGGCTTCAAATGTGTGAAGGTCAAAGACAGTTCCTCTCGGGAAATGACACGAGCACGAGTGAATACAATTTCTCTTTCAGAGTTTCCTCGTGCCATTTGTAGCCCAAACACACAAAGCATGCCTCCCCTCTACAAAAGAATCAAACTAAATGTTTGACAAGACCTGGACAAAAGCAGCATTTCACAAAATAACCCCCAACGCCCTCCCCTCCATGCTCTACTTCCCCTCCTCCCCCTCTCTCTTCAGAGCTCTGTTCAGAGGTGGACTAATTCTCTTTCACTCGCTTGCTGCGATTCTCTCATCTGTTAACCTCTCTTTTTGGCCCGGGATTACGCAGCAGAATATCGAGGAAACACTAATCCTAAAAAGGTGTCAATTTCTGTTCGCTCCTGCAACGCCCCTTTCTCCTCCCACGCATTTAACTGGTAAACTCAGAGGAGAGGCCAAAGGCTCACCTTCTCATCAGACTGCATGGTGACAACACTGGTCACAGAGCAGGGAGTCCCTGTCAAGGCAACGCCGGGATGTCCCTCAACCGCAACAACCATTCCTCTAAACTGATTGGGTTAAGGAGGAACAAACCACCGCTCTATGGGTGACGCAGGCCAAATGCAACCCCGCAGAGTAGCAGATGTCAAACGCCATCATGGCAGCCATGTTTGAACAAGGCAGATCCATGTGCATCATTAGAGCAAGGAGTCACTACATAGCAAAGCGGACAGTTTCCTTTGAATCACATTAACATATTAAAAACTGGTTTTAAATGAGTTGCCCTAAAAACAGCCGTGGCGATAAAGGTTTAGATTTGGCCCAAGAACAATAAATATGTATAGATGTGATATCTGTACTCTTAAGTGAGAGTTTTACTATAATATATCTTGTTAAATATGCAGTTAACCATTCCTACGTTTTTATAATTTACTGGGAAGGATACACAGCAATGAGAATACATCAGAGTATTTGCAGTGACTGAAGCTACCAATAATCTATGGCTGGCAATCATTTCCCCATGACAGTAAATGTAAGACCAGTTCATGCCATTTAGATCTGAATTAAGACCAAATTAGCTGTTAAAAAACATACAAGACAAAAAGAAACGTTCAAGATATGTTCAGCCCCTTCTTTCATCCTCACTGGAAAGCTAAAACAATCTTCAGTTTAATTTGAGACTAGTGCGTATTTGAAAATAGCAAATGTGTGTCTGAGGAAGAGTGTGTGTGTCTGTGTGTTAGATCCTCTGAGCTAGCGTGTGCTCTCTTCTGAGCCGTCTTCACATATGGACCGTAAACAGGGTGATTACCAGACCGGGCTGGGCTCCGCCTGAACGCCACCCAGGGACTCTTTACATCATCAGCGCACTGCTCATGCCCGGCTAAACACACAAACACACACACTGAGAGCAGCCGCTCACACATACACAGACACGTACACACACACACACGCAGCACAAATGAGGGTCTCCAGGTGACCATACGGTGGCCTGGGAGGAGAGCTGGCTTCACACTGAAGGCACCTACGCACACGCTTGGATCTAAATACACAAATACACAAAGAACATTTTAACATACGAGCACCGTACATAGATATACGTTACACAAACAAACTCAAGCAAACACACAGGGATGCACAAATATATACTCACACTTTAACACACACACAGACACACACACATTATTGGCCCTTGTGAGAGATATACTGCCGTTTCATTCCATTCACTCCAGAGCTGCCTCTATGATATACTGGCTACACTGCCTGTTAATACAATATCTGCGCTAGTGCTTTCCATCCAGCCTCCCAGCCGACAAAAAAACACAGAATATAACACCTGACATGTGAGCGTACATACCGTATATCCAGCCTAAAATGTTGATAATTAACTAAATGAGAAAAAGAACAAAAGCCATCCAGAACGATCTGAGTTTGGGCCAATGTTTATCGAACAATAACCATACGTTCAACAACACCTCTGCTTTTTGGCTGCCGTTGCATACAAGTGTGTGTGTTGGGGGCGGTAAAAGAAACAACAAAAAAAAGAAATCATGCGGCAAACAAATGACAATAGCCATTGATTTGGATTTTCTATGCCGATTCTCTTTTCCCACTTGATCAAACTCAGGGCATTTGATAGAAGTAAAGGATAACATGTAGTGGTGATGGAGATAGGGGGTGTGTGTTTTGTTGTGCAGTATGGTAGCAAGGGGGCTGGGGTTGGGCGTTAATCTTTTTTATTTATTTTTTTAAATAAGCAGACTGGGCTTCAGCACCTGTGATAAGGGACATTCTTTAGCCAGAGAGCTCTGATTCATGTCTTTGAGTAACTCCTTGAGGGCGTTTCTTACTGTAGAGTGGCTCCATTGCTCAGGCGGCAGGTCCTCCAGCTTAGGACAACTGTGGAGAGAGAGAGAGGAGACATGCAGGGGAGAGGGGGGACAGGGAGGATAATATAGGGAGGGGAAGGGGTAGATAGGGATGTAGAGGGAGAGGGGTGAGGAGAGAGCATGAGAAACAATTCAGATGGAGAAGAGACAAAGACCGAAAAGGAAAGCCAGCAGCTCTGATGGTATCTTGAATAAATAATAAAATACACAAGCAACAAATTCAGAAACACGATATCAGAATGATTTAATCTGATTGCAAGGATTGGACATTCCCCTGATCTGTAGAGCAAACGGGTAATAATAACAAAAATCTGCAAATCTGGAAATACATTTGACCCAAACCACTATGGAGGCATGTGGGTGAGAGGGGAAGTTATCCTGCAGCTTCCTTTACAGCAGCCGGCAACACTTCCTGGTCTAACATCATTGGACTTAAACACACACTTTTGACTATATCGCGCGTAACAGCCTGATTCTAACACTGACCAAAATTACATCATTTAACAATGTATAAAACATTAAGTGCAAATAAGTTTCATTATTGACTAATTTGTTGAATATACTTTCTATAATGGTGATTCATTGTTTTGTCCTCATCAGAAAAACATTAAAAAAAAAAGCCCCAAAAAAAGTCTTAAAATTGGTTATTTTTGTCCAACCGGCAGTTAAAACCCCTAAGATATTAAATGAATAAGAAAAAAAAAAATCCTTACTAAGTTTTACATACACATCTTCAACCCATTGTTTCAGCACTATTGAAGTGGTGTGCTAACAACGTGCAATTTGGGAACAAAATATTTTACCCATAACGGGTTTTAAAACCGTCCAAGCCTTTAAAATACATATTGATGAAATGGCCAAATCACTGGAACAATCAGATAGACAGAGCGAGGAGACAGGGAGAGGAAAGCAGAGAGAAAGAGAGCAGAACACACGGGCTCTCGCTCTGTTTTCCCTGCTGCAAGCGCCCCTCCAAGACAGACAGATTTCATTTGGCGCATCAAGCAGATGCATCTGGAGATTGCTCTGTCTCTCTCTCCCTCTCTGCCTGCCTCACTCTCCCTCCCTCTTTCATATTCTCCCCCCCCCCTCTCTCTCTCTCTTTCTCTCTCTCCTGATTGTTCTGATTAGTTAATTACTTTATACAACACATCTGCTGGATTGATGCATGAATTATACATCAGCTGCATGTGGCGACTATTATTTCGTGTTACTTCTACCTTCCTGGCTCGTTGTGCTCGGCGAAACAATTTAAGGTGTTACTGGCTAGATTTCTGCGGCAGTCGGGGCGGTTGGGGGTTGTTGGGAGGGGAGTTGAGGGGATTGTGGGGAGGGGGGATGAAAAGGAGGAAAACAAATACAAAACAATAACAATACTGACAACAATATGGAGTGAAATCAAAATAGATTTATAGATCACATAGAGATTGGCTTTGACGTTATCTGGTGCTAGTGTTGAGTGCTGCAGGGGCTCTACCTCAGAACAACTATTTTTACATGGGGGTGGAACTGTGGAACTCAACTCCCAGTTCTCTTTTGATAAACACTTTAGATGTACAAGACATATGTAGACGTGTTTTGTATTAAATGTATCGCTGAATTACATTTTCGTTAAACCCGCTTTCGACACTTGACAAGTGAAAGAAGAGATGAGACATTGAGCGGGGGGTGATGAGTGTACAAGTGCATGAGCCGTCTGTGTGTGTGTCCATAAATCTGTCAGTTTGGTGTGTTGGAAACGTTACGAGCACGGAGATAACAGGAGAGTGGAACAGAAAGGGATGCGTGCAATGGTCGAGGCTAACATCTGCTTGTAAGAAAACACACACGCGCACACAAACAATGGATTTTTCAGAACACCTTAAACTGCTCCAGCAGCTAGAAAGCCTCTGGGGAGACGGTAGTGAACGAGAGGAGGGGAGGAGGGAGAGGCAAAAAAAAAAGGGGGGGAAGTGGAGACAGACAGCTATCCATGCATTCAAGGCTAGCACGCCGGAAATAAACACAACCTTCTGTATTCTGGCTGTTGGACGCGTTCACATCAGTCAGTGTGTGAGTGAGTGCTTCACTGGTGAAGGTGGGTGGTGATGGGGGGGGGCACAGGAGGAGAGGGGGGAGAGGAGGAAGAGGCAGAGCGAGGCAGGAAAAGAGTCGGAACAGCAGCTGGCACAAGCCTCCACACCAGTGCCACTCGGCTGTGTGTGTGTAGTGTCTTTGTGCCTATGAGCACATGTGAGCCTGTTTGCGTCCGTGTTCTAAAAATGCTCGTATGCTCTCGCCGTGCGTATAAATATAAGCTTCACTCCTACAGAGTAGCATTTAGCATACAATATGTTGAGTGATGGCGCCAAAACGGCTAGCTAAACTCAGTGTGAGATTCTTTATTATTATTATTATACGTGATGTAAGTTCAGAAGCAATACTGTATATAGTTTACTTAAAATAGCCGGTGCAGCCAGGTTTATTTACGCAACTATTTCAGGTGAACAACCGTGTATTCATACTGCAGGGTCATTTTTAGCTGTGGGCTGTCTGCAGTTGCCCACCACATTTATTTAATTATAAAAAAGAGTTTAAGTAGTGCTCAGCTCAAAAACTGTTACCATCATATATAATTCTACCAATCCGCAATGCATAAATGCCTTTATTATGTTGACATCAGTTACCATAATTAACCATTTAAATGTGGGGTTGCTACAGGAGATGAATCTACTTGATATTTTTTTAGAACGGTGTTCCTATAACTTCATGGTTACATTTACAAATAAACTGATCTTTGTGTTTCTTAAGGCGATGAAGTTCTCTGTGTTTAAATGTTGTTCCCACATTTTCTGGGAAAGGTCAGTCTGTTCTTTGTGTGTGTGAGTAATGTATCTATTCTCAGTACCAAAGATGCAGAAGGCATCTGCACCTGCCTCTGGGCCTACAAGACATGCTACGTGTGTGAATGTTAGAAGCAAGACTAACAGGTAAAACGTTTCCTCTGTGTATTAAAGAAAACTGTGTGTTTTAGGTTTTGACAGTGCACTTTTGTGGGTGGTAGGCAGGTAAAACAGATTCTATGAACACCTACACACATTTTGGATTGGTACACATGTATGCAATCAAGTGTTGGATTCTAGTATGTAGTGTTTCTGACCTGTGGAGCTGGATCTTGAGCGTGACAACGTGGTAGACGTCCTGCAGCATGTCAGCCACCGTAGCGTCCGGTGCGTCTGTCACGTATGACAGGGGGACGGGGTTCCATTTCCCCACCTGAATCATACCTGGACGATGCAACACGTATATGGGCACACACATGAACATTGGTGGATATGGACACAGATATGTGGACGCACAAATGCACAAGAATGGAAACAAGAAAGAAGAAGAGAATAGATCAGCACAAAGGTCATTTAGCATGACCTCATTAGGCTGCATCCCTTTAAAAATAACTAGTATGAAACATAATGTAAAAAACATGAATATAGACATGTTGGTGCCATAGACACTCTTCTTATACTTTATTTGTTATGGACATCCTAACAGTGATGCCAGAATGTCTCCTGAGACTGTCATAAAGCTCACACAGGAGGAAGAACGCTTATGGAAGAGGAGGCACTAAAATGTGTGTGTGTGTGTGTGTGTGTGTGTGTGTGTGTGTGTGTGTGTGTGTGTGTGTGTGTGTGTGTGTGTGTGTGTGTGTGTGTGTGTGTGTGTGTGTGTGATGGACAGGCTATAATAAAAGAGCATGCTAAGAGGCACCTTGGAACAGCCACCCTCGGCCTGCGTGAGCTCAAGTGCAATTAGCAGACCCTATCCTCCACCTGCCCCTCCCACCCACTGAGTCACTAAGTGTGTGTGTGTGTGTGTGTGTGTGTGTGTGTGTGTGTGTGTGTGTGTGTGTGTGTGTGTGTGTGTGTGTGTGTGTGTGTGTGTGTGTGTGTATACAAATAAATATAGTATGAGTTGCGTGTACGCACGATGCGTGTAAACATTTTAGTGTGTTAGCCTTTGCATTTAGACTGTGTGGGAATGTGTGTGTGTGACCCTTGCCAGAGTTGAGCATCTCCTGTCTGGGATCAGTGTCAGGATGTGTTACTGCTGGCGGAAGGCTATTATGGTCACAGAGAGGGTGTTTGTTTGTGTGTGTGATTGAGGCACTAAGATGTGTGTTTGAGTGTGTACAGGAGTAACAGCATGCCAGAAAATGTTGTAGAGAAGACGCTAATAAGCATTAGAGAGATAGAGCAAAGGGGGGAAAAAGAAAAGTGGCAGAACAGAGAGGAGTCAGTGAGTGGTTACCTTTGGCCTGGGCCGCTGAGCTGTGGGAATAGCCCAGCGACAAAAGGGCCATCTCGATGAGCTGGTTGAACAGCATGTCCTTACGCACCAAGACGAACTCGGCATGCTCCTCCTTGCTGTCAAAATCCATGGGATTCTCGTAGTGCTCCACCACACAGAACACAGGCAGCATGTTGCCTGGAGACACGGAGACACGGAGACACTAAGTTATAACTAAAAGGGTTCACATTTCTTCACACACAAACTTTGACCTTCAGTGTTTGCCGAGGGACGAGATTAATATTTAGAGCTGACGATTAAGTTACACTCAGACTGAGAGTCAAGGGATTATGAGTGAGTGATTCAATTGCTGCGGAGTAGAAGTTCTTGACAGAAATTAACTAAAGGATGAGTTTGGAACACAAAAGGCATTTCTCATCTTTTATAGGACGATTTCAAACTTAACCCTAACCTCTTTGCCTCAATGCCAAACTCGCAGTAACATTGGGAATCAAACAGTCCTTACTGCGCAATTCGGAGTCTGAATTTATTTACCTATCTGTTTTATTTAGAAATACTCTCTGTTTATATTTCATTATTCCTTCTGTGTTTTCCCCAGATTGTTTCAATAGTTGGAGGATTCCTTCCTGCAGTGTGGAGTTCATCTTCCAGGATAATGAATTAGAGCACTGTGAGTTGTGTTAGCTTTATATATATATAATAAAAATAAATTGGAAATCATTTTCACCTTAAGCTTAGTGTGAACAGCAGCCACCAAAATCCTCTAACTCGTATGTCTCCGTTTGGCACAATTAACTGTTTATTCACAATACAATTCTGTGATCACATTGCCTTCTCCCTGCCAACCTAAAATCATTTTCCCATGATGCAGTGCTTCAAATCCCATACCACCTCTGCGTCCTGAGGTTTTCTAGTCTGTGTCAACAGTGGCTCTGCTGTTAGGTGGAATGAGCAATCCTTGTCCAAAGACTGCCGAATGTTCAAGGGACCCACTGCGCAAATATCACCTAATATGCCTTTTTCCTAAAATAACATCCTGGACGTTTTAGGAAGAGTAATGGTATGGGGACAACGTGGCCTTTTCAAGTCTCAGTTTGAATGATAACAACAGCATAAAATCGAAAAGTGTTGATGAAGGGCTGACTGCACTACGTAAATCCAGCATGTTTTACGATTGTCCTACTTCCTCACTATGTCTCCACTCTACGATCACCTGAGCACATTTCTGTAATCTGTTCATTTATTGTTCGTGCCGATTAAAATGATTCACATTCTAATATTTTCCAATCCCAGGCATTCCAGAAGATGCACACAGCTCTGGCAAAACAATCAATAAGCCGACAGATGCCAGGGAATGTGCTGAAAGAGCTGCTTTTCTCCTCCCCTGATTTTAATAGATAAAGATCTAACAATAAAGACTGCTGTGTAGGTTCATTTGGGGGATCAATACTGGCTTTGTTTCCAGGGAGCCCGGAGAGGGCTGCTGTAAATATTGTTTCGGGCTCGGATACAATGCCCACTGTGGGCTCTCGGCGAAGCCTCCGCGGCGGCCCGCCCGCCTCCATCGGCTGCTTCACCCTTTACCCAGGAAGAGACTCGGCAAAAGGACAAGAGGAGGGGAGGGGGGGAGCAATGAGGAGGCTTGGAGGAACAAACGTCGTAGGGGGGCCAAGAGAAGCAGAGATGATGAAGGAGAAGAATTAAGCTCTCTCAGCTGGAGTGCGACACGTAGATTAAAGGAGCAAATAAGAAAAAACGGCCCATCCGAGGACACTCACACAGCCACATTCCAAGAGTTCCTCAGTCCCTCTTGCCTAAAGAAAACCAAAGCAGCCAAACAAACAAACAGGAGAGCCGGCGCTGCCAAGTGCTATTACAACTCCGAACCTGCAGGTTTGAAACTCATTCCCAACCCACAACAAAACAAACACATTATCATAAAAAGGTTCATGTTTTGGATAGCTTTGCTATAGAAAAAACAAGTTATATTAAAAAGCTATGTCATGATCTCATAGTAAAGGCTCCCTTTAAACAAGAATGGCTCTTAAAGGACTGAAACTTGGCCTTAATAAACAAATGTCGGAGCAGGAGGGCTACGTTTGGAGAGAGGAGCGGTGACACAGCGCTCTGCAGCACGACACAGGAATAACTCTAACAGTGCTTTTCTATTTGCTATTGTCTGGGCAAATAAGTGGGAGTGCGTGCAGTGTGTGTGTGTGCGCTGAGATGACTAAAGACACATTGTAAAAAGGTTTAAGAGTTTTGGAGAGCATGCAGCGGGTGGTGGTGGGTGGAAGGTGGTGTGTGTATTTAAACTGCATTTAAATAGCTTTCCATTATTCACGTGGTTTATTCTTCTCCTGCTCATGCCCAAATGCACACACAAAGTTTTACTTTATTTGTTTCATAATAAGTTTGCACAAACTAACAAGTGATTCCTCAATTAATTATCTGACAATTATTCAAAATTACTCAATTGTTTAGTCTCAAAAATGTGGGTTTCTACTAAAGATAATTTGGGTGATTATCTACTCAATTAATCAATGAATAGTCGATAAAATGTCTGAGAAATAGCAACAAAAATGGTGATGACAGTTTCCCACTGCCCAAAGCAACATATTTTAATTGTTTGTATTGTCGCACTAACAGTTCGAAGGTAGCACATTCCTATTTGAGAGGCAAATACTTGGAACTAATTTTCTTTAGCAATTAATTGTTTCAGCTTTATAAAAAATAGTGAGTGATGCCCCTTGCAAATTATCAATTGATGGCTTTGTCCAATAAACTTTAGAAAACCCCAAAAAGTACAATAACAAATAAGAGAGTTTACAGGTGAAACGTTACATTACTAAAATCAGCAAATAGTTGCCAATTTTCCTTTTTAAATACAAATATAAATTTTCTTTTGATGGACTAATCAATAAAAAAAAATCATCCTTTACGTGCGAGTATAGCCCTCTCTCTACACACACCCGTCTCCCTCTTACCTCTCTTGTGGCAGGTCTTCAGCAGGTGGCCGGTGGGTTTGTACGGGACCCCAGCTAGTTTGGCCCCGGTGCTGCCCAGCCGGGCCCGGCCCAGGGGGCTGCCGTTCTGCTCCAGCCGGGGCAGCTTGGCCGGCGGGGCCTTGGCCTCGGCCATGCTGTTCATCAGGTCGGAGTTCTCCTTCCCCAAACACACCTCGCTGAGATGGTCCATCATTCTCAGCACCTCTGCTCACTATCACCTGGGGAGAGACACACAGAAAGATTCGGCTGTCAGCGGAGATATGTGTGTGGCAATAAAGAAGTACTGTAATGTGCTACGAGGGGAGCATTGAGCACCAAATATTTTGTGTTGATGTCATTGACATGTGAAGATGTCATGAGACGTTTTTATAGAGCAAAAAAGTGCTTTAAGTAATTGAAAGCTCTGAGAACAGACCCATTACGGCAATAGCTGCCAATTCACTTCAGTTATGACGACTCAGCCATGGTGACGTTTTCGTGCTGCTGTAATGTTCCCATTTTTCAACACATGTATTATGTATGATTGTCCCACTAGAGATTCCCATGCGAGAAGGGGCAAACAAGCCCCGGTTTTAGCGCAAACACATTAATTTGCTGTGAGATTCCACTTGAATGAATACATTGCAGTTCAAGGAACAAGGTTCTGCTGCGGCGCACGCAGAGAGGTGAAACTAACATAATTCGGTTTCTGAGTCACTTCGTGTGGCTTCACATTCATGACGCAGCTCCGAGGGAAAGGGCGGCGTAAGGCCGCACCATAATTTTGCAGGGACAGATACACACATACATTAATACACTATCAGGTACATGACTTTACAGGTTTGAACTTTAAAGGGTACCTATCATGCAAAATGCACTTTTGTACGTCTTTTATACATGAATATATCAATAAGTTTACAACTTTAGAATAGGGGGAAAAGAAGGCAGCTTTTGGAAACTTATAAATAGACAGTTGCTGACTCGTGAAAAGAATCCTCAAAAGTGAAAGAAAGGACACAAGGGAGATTTAGAGAGGAAGAAATTATGGGGCGACTTTGGCAGCTTTAACCACAGGTTAGTGCATAGACACAAAGTTATTGATTGAGGCTGAAGCTGACAATTCACAAATTATTTTAACTCCCTGGAGTAAACTTTAAGAAATGTATCAATCATAAAACAAGACGGGTTTATGAATACAAAAAATGGAATGGAAAAAGTATCTAAGGGTGATGCATGCAGGTTGACGCACTGTGCTGATGAACATGAACCGGAATGCTGTTGTCAAAGAGTGAAAAGGGCAAAATCATCCACCCCCACGCAAAAGATCATGAACTCCCCCATTCATAACACGCAATGAGGCCACTAATGCCCCACAAATAAGGGGCCAAAGGAATCCAGACCCGGATACAGTCCGGATCCAGGTCAGGATTTTTAAATGACCTTAAAACACAAAAACAGGAGTTACAAATTGACCATTACCCCTAAATGAGGAGTTAGGGGAGGAGGACAAGTTGAGTGAAAAATCTTCCAAACCAACCTGAAACGCAGCACTTCTTCAGCAATCGGAAGCATATAACACCGCCTGGGAAACACGTCTTCTTCAAGTTTGGCCAGGGTAGAAAAGAAAAAAAAAGAACAACTCCTGCTTCCCGGTCTCGTTATCTCTCCCTCTCTCTCCCTACGTGTGCATGACAGCAAACGCTTGTAAAAATACTCAGTGTTTAAAAAGACGCTTTCTCCTGCTCTTCTTCGCGGAGGACTGACAGGCGGTCTGAAAAAACAACAACCCGGGTCTGTGTGAGAGACGACGAGGTCGAGATGGACCGTGATAGGCGAACATTGGTAAGCGGTCATGTGTGTGTGTTGTCCATTATCTAATTCCGTCCAATTGGAGGAAAAAAACGGCAACAGAAACCGCTACAACCGGCGACATTTAGCTCAAAGTGAAGGCGACTTCAGCTTTAGTTCGCACCACAACATCCACATCGCTACATCGGCACAGTACAGTTAGCAGCCTCCAGTGGAAAGCAAAGCACCTCGGACACAGTTGTAATGATAATACCCGCCGCCGAGACCCAATAAACCCTTCTCTGTGTATATGAGAATAAACGTACACAAAAATAGCTTAACGTCCGCTCAGCTAGATTTGACTACCGGCTGACTGAGAAAAATATTAATAATAACCGACAGTGTGTTCTTGCTACCGCGTTGGAGGCGAGACGATATGCGGACAGTCGAAACAGGTTCGCAAATACAACAAGGAGAGGGGGGTCAAAAAGTGCGATATACTTTCCGATGTCGAGCATAAATAAGGCTTGCAGTGGATGCATAAGAGAGCTGCCTGCGATAGTAATAGTAGGAGGTGTCCTGTTGGTTGGGGATTGGCGTCCGGACGGAGCTCTTTCTATCTCCCTCTCTCTGTCTCTCCCCCTCTCACTCCGTCTCTCCCTCTCTGTCCCCATTAAATTATTAGTTGTATTGACTCATCACTCCCCCCTCTCCTCTCCTCGCTGCTGGTGCTGCCGCTGCTTGTGCTTTCCCTTTCTCCTACTCATTTCAAATGGCGTGGTGGTGGGGGGTAAAAAAAAGAATTGGGGAAAAAATAGAAGATAGCAGGGGTGTGTGTGTGTGTGTGTGTGTGTGTGTGTGTGTGTGTGTGTGTGTGTGTGTGTGTGTGAGTGCGTGCGTGTGAGCATGAGAGAGGGATAAAGAGAGAAACAGGAGTGTGTGTGGTGGAGTGTGCGGAAAAAATAATCCCCCTATAATAATTTTAATAAAATCTGATTATCTCTCCATATCTCAAGCCGAAAAAGTCCTGAAGGAGACAAATAAAAGTGGAGAAAGTGGAAAGGGACAGCAACTAGATACACACACGCGCGTACACACACACACACACACACACACACACACACACACACACACACACACACACACACACACAGCAAGGAAGAACGGTGGTGCGATTTCCGGCTGTGCGCGCAGGAATTTTTAATCAGCTTGATTAGAGTGAGGCGGTCCTGCATTTATTACTGGGTAACACACAGATGCTCACGCGCACACCAACACACACTCACACACACACAAACACGCTAACACGCATACAAGCACACGCACATGCACACGCTCACATACACAGTGTTTTGTTTTTGTATTTACTTTTGTCCAGAAAATAGTTTTTAAATTCTGTGATTTTGTCAAAGATGAACTATTTGACATCCAGTTAGTTTGAGATAACAACAAACATAATAATTAACTAAGGGGAATACAAAAGCATCATTAAATAAAAACGTGTATGTGTGCCCCTAAAACCAACATCCCATCAGTTTTTTTGTTTGTATCAAATCTAAAATGAATCCCCTAGCCTTTTGAATAAAAAAATAAATCAGAAGTCAAAAAGCAAAAGCTGAGTTGCAATTGCAGAACTGCATGACTACCTTCTTAGACCATCATTACAATACAAAGACTATTTGTATATTTAAGTAGGTATACATTTATATCTTGAGCGCTTAAAGACCACTTGCAATGCAATAATTTGCACTAATAAATATTTATGAGCCTCAAAAAGTGGAAAGGCTCCATACGTCTGCACACTAAAGGTAGGGAGATACATCCCTGCTGTTTAAATTGCAAGGATTACAGTATAATATGTGTTGGATGTGCCAACACTAAATAGATGTTCCCGTCAGTAAACAACATATGTAGAGATAGCAGGCATTTAGCCTTTCTTTATAGTCTGCTTTTATCTCACAAACTTTACCTCCATAGTAGGTCGTACCGACTATATCAAACTGGATTATACCAAAATATTAGACAAGCTAATCTCTGTTGATATTGTCAACAAAACCCTGAACTGTCAAAGTGGACAAAGAACTGAATTGATGTAAGAAAGAAAAGGAGGAATGTTTAGAGGCTGCAGAGCAACACAATCTCTGTAAACAATGGCAGACTGGAAGGTTTTTTCTCAAGTTGATGTGAGTTTTTGTCATTATTTGTCCTTAATTATTTCATGAAACCTTCCTTGCTGGCGGCCTGTGTTATAACCGAGCAAACGTCAAAAATATCAGACAAAGTAATCTTTGTTTATATTGTCAATAAAAGCCTGATATGGTGTTTGTACCTTACCTTAAGGTGGCCTAATAATAACAGTTTCACAACTTTATGAGCAAGGCCAGACTAATATGTTCTGGACACACACACACACACACACACACACACACACACACACACACACACACACACACACACACACAGGTGACAATGCACCAATGCTGTCTGCCAATGTAGGGTCCAATGTTTGATTCAAAATCACAGAGGAAATGTTTTTTTTAACACAAATAAAATATAGTAAGTAAGACAAAAATCAAATGTAATACCGAAGACGTATTCATTATTTCATTACAATTGTGCCACAGATTGAACATTAAGCTTTTGTTTTTGGCATGAGAGGTATACCAAGCAAGATGGGGCGACATGATCCACTCATCTGGCCACTATCAACATCAAACAAAAATGAACACGCTTGGCTTGTCGTCCAGGTTGTGTAAAAACAAAAACAGGAAACCAACATAAAACAGGAAGTGTGTACACCTTTGAAGACGACAAAGGTGGTGAGCCGACCGTGGAGGTCAGGTGCATGTGAAATGCTACATAACAAGACATGCTCACTAATAAATCTTTGCAGGGCTCATAAACCTCCTCTGTGTGAGAGAATAAATACAGTGACAGTACATCTCCTCACACAAAGCTGTTTCATAAACAATGCAACACAACAGACGTGAGCTTTTTAGCTTAGCTTGACGGTAAGCACTGTAAGGGGATGATGACTGAAACTCTACTAAACAATAAAGAAAGTTATTCAGATTTAAAGAAGGAATGTATTGCTAGATTTTAGGGGAAACATACTGGAGTTCTTTTAAAAAGGAGGCAGAAACTGGAACAGATCAAAGGACCAATCCCGGAAGAAGTGGTGGTGTGTTGTATCACTGGTAGAAACAATACATTTACACTTGTCATTCAACCCCCATTTGTGAAGCGAAATCATGGTTCCACCCACCAAGTGAGGTCAAAAGTTTTCTCCTTTTTAAGTACATTTGTGGTCGCATTATGAATTCACAGCAGAAGGCCAGCGGAGAAGCTTTTAACGGAAAAATAAAATGTGAAACTCACCTTTCGGACCCCAGATGGAACAATGTCTTGCAATATTGACACCCAGTTAGCAGGAGGTGTAAGTTTTGAGGGGGCGGCTGCATTTTAAAAAGGGTCCTACATCTGTGGTTTATTCTAACAGGAAATGGAAGAGATGTTGAAACTGCTCACAAGAGACCCCAACATGTTTGAATTCATGAGCAGAGGCTGCTGCACAGATTCAGTGATCAATTCTTATCTTAACCATTCTCGGGGTTTCAGTGAGCTGCCAACGCTGTGTACTAAACACAGCTGCGGTGCGCAGTGTGGTTAAATGGCTCTACTATGTGTCTGAATAAAAGACCCAAACTGTAGAGTAATTACTACATTTTCAGATTCATTCCAATGTGAGATATTATTCTGCTTCTGAGAAATGTGACAAAGATTTCCGCAAAGTCACTGAAGACATGAAAGTGAAATTCACAAATGAATCATATTGAAATTAATCGTGAGCTTTGTGAGAGGTACATTCAAGAGGGTGAAATTGTCCTTATTTTGTTTAATATTTAGAAATAAAATCAGGTCATATTTTTATGGAAATGTATGTGCAGCATGTAAGATTTTGCTCACTGTTGAGGTTCATCACTGTCACTGTAATGTGTTATGTAGTAACATGAATCGCACCGACAGGCTGCAGTAACCGCCACCCCCCCCCCGCCTCCACACCCACACCCAAACCTTCTCCTCAGCAGATCACTTTGCATCACCTGCACGGCATCGCTGCACTACATTCTGCATGTTGACATGTTTTCCCCGTTGACATGCTTTACAGCATGTTCACTGCAGCTCCCGTTTTTTTGTCTTTTTCCCTGGCCGCAGTTAGCAGCGTTAGGAAAATAGGAGCGACGGTGAAAGCAAGCCATTGTCGGCAAATGCTCTTTTCTATCTGGCATGACGCAAGCAGCCGCAGTCATTTCCACTGTGATTGTCGGGCACCATCAGAGAGCATCGATAACCCCTGCCAGGCCTTGGCACTGCCAACAGGTGCCGGCACTGCCAGCTAGGTTGGCACCGAGGTAGCTGTGAAAACCCTCTGACATCCAGAAGGGCACAGATTTGCACTGAATGCACCACTGAATCAACACTGCTGATTATCAATTAACATATACCGTTTTGTATCACACAGAAAAGAGGGGAAAAATGGGTTTTCAAACACAGAAAGCCTGTTTAAAAATACTAGCCGTGTGCTGTTATAATCGTCTGCTGAATACAGATTTAGCTCTGTTCAAGGTGGGTTTTTACAAGCCTGTGCGGCTTTGTGTTGGGGAGATACAGTACGTAATTGTTCAGGCAAGATGTGTGCATGTTGGCTACATTTGTACAGGAAACATGCAAAATGACATGAGAACATGGCATACTGGATGTTAAAATGCAACAAAAGATGCTGCATATATAAATTTCAGGAGTCATAGCATTACACCGCAGATACATTTCTCTTTCTCTGTGTGTTTTACCACAGGTACTGTATGTTTTCACCAAAACACACTTATCACAACTATCACATCTGGCCTACTGCTTTTTAAACCACATGTTTATGTCTCAGGAGTAATTAAATATTATGTCTATTTCGTTTTTTTTAAAGACAGCCACAAGCAACACACAAAGGGGGAAAAAATAAATGTTAAATGTATCCGTGTTGGCTCAACATAGAAAAGCTTCTTCCTTTATTTACTGTGTCAGGCGAAGCCGGCGCCATCACTGACTGTACGTAGGTGTTGTGATGTCTTCATGCTCACCACTGGTAATGCTTCTAATGGGGATTAATACGATTATTTGGTTTACTAATACAAATTAGTCTGCGCATCCAGTCTGAGCGAACACAAATAGCATGAGGGTAAGCACTGTCACTGGTTTGACTTTGAGCTCTTTCTTCAAGTGTCTCTCACAATAAAAACACATAGATAAACATAATGGTATTATTAAAGGCTGCAAAGGAATTAATAATCTGTTTGGGAACGTGTCAAAGCACGTCTGCATCAGTGTGGGCACAGATGAACCTCAGCGAGACAAAAGATGACATGCTCAGTGAAAAAAGGAAAAGAAGGTGGTGTACAGTGCATGCCGTTCAAAACCAACAAGCAGTTAAATGAGTAGTAAAAACCATGAAATCAGTCCGTCTAAACGAAAGCACAGAGTTGATGCAGAAGTAGATAGTATTTTATAAATAAACAAATTGGAACAGTGTATTTTGGAACAAAGAAATCATTTCTCTCTATGGCATTTGTAGGTTCTTCTTATGTGGGGTAATGCTTTTTAAAATACAATTACAGACTCCAGACTAACCAAAATGTGCTACTTAAATGAAATACAAAAAGACTAGAAATCTGACGATTACTAGAAGCGGCAACG